AGGTGATGAATTCAGCAAACACTGTCTGCTTCTTCGCAAACCTCTAAGAGACCTTAACTTCTGAGACTCATGAACAGGGACCAATCAAGTTTGTAGAAACATGACGTCAAATGCACAAGGGCTAATAACGTTATAATTAAAATCCGCGATGTACTGAACCGATAGCACTTGGATTCTCACTGACACAGTCAATTTGCCGTCGCAACTATTTGAAGAGCTACCTTTTTCCCTCGTTGTATGAAGCAATTTTTCGTCGTTGTTTGCAGAGAAAGCATTCTGGAACGGTGAGATATTTTTCGACGGCTATCGCACGGAAAAGCTTCCCAGTTGGATCTTCTAAAGAATCTCATAAACGAAGGATATATAGACTGTAGTTTGTAACGCGGGGTTCCCAGCTTGCACAGAAGAAGAAAAGCACGTAAAGACTCGCCTTGCACGTTTGTCATTCTGGCGACTATTCTTCTAATTGCTAGAAAAGGAAGAAGGTTTTGTTCACTGTGTATCTGTTTTCTGCAGTCACACTGAAAAGAGTATGGAATTCTAAAAAGATCTCATTTGTGTATTTGCTTTTCGATTACACTTCGCGGATTACACTCCCCCATAGCTAACGATCGCATAAAGTAGGTCAAACTGAGAACTTCGTACACCAAGTTAAAAATTTAAAGAAATAATCTACCTCAGGCCGGTACGGTTACATTTTCAATTTATTTTAATCTTACTTACTACAGAAATATGCAAATCAAAATGTACTGTATCTTTCAAACAGGTATTAAAGTAGCCTAGCCGTATTTACCTCTTATTAACTGAGCAGGAGGTCTGTATGGGAGAATCTTGACCGAGGTCGTGAGTACAGACCGAACGCAGTGAGGTTTGCACACACGACCGAGGTCAAGATTCTCCCATTCAGACCGACTAAGCTTGGTTAATAAGATGTTTATTATATGGTAAGCAAGAGAAATTTAATTCGTTTAGTGTAACTGGTTTGTACTAGCCGACATTTTGCTTGCGAACGGCGATGAGCTGAACATATTCTGCCGAGGTCTGCTCGCTCTCTTTACTTTTCTTTTCTTTTGTTATCACACTTTTTTGCATTGCCATAAATAAATATTGTTAGAAGAAAATAGTCAACATTTTTGCATTAAAGTTTGCAACTTTTTCACCGCAAAACATTACCGGTCTAGATGCCGGTCTAGATGGGAAAATCTAGACCGCTTTCAATATCGATTTCAGCCAATCAAATTCTTGAATTCGGTAGTTCCCCGTCCTTGTGAGACAGCCATGAAATAATATTGGATAAAAATACTTTGTAAGTAAATTAGTTTTTTAGGAGACATAGCAGCTTAAATAACTAAATATAGAAAGTCAAGGATATTGCTTTGGACATCGTCAACATTATAGTGCTACTCGGCAATACGATTCACTATGAATGTAAACAAAGCGCATTGACAATTACTCTAAATTTAACTGAATTTAATAGAGTTTTCTGCAAAAGGATTGCCGAAGTTATATGTTTAGAAGACCTTAGAGAGCTTCGTCATTAATTTTGATTAGAAGCCCCGCGCATATACATGAAAAGAATCATTCATGAGAACTGAATATTTGAAAAGTCGAAAAGTTGCAAATATGCCTGGGAAAAATATATATATTGACCGTAGTGCGTTTGGACGCAAGACCTCTTCGAATGCTAAGCTATTCGATCCGGAGGCTATGTGGTCAGTGGCCGGTAGAACGTTTGCACAGTCCGTTGCGAAGTCATAGGTTCCAATCTAATGTGTTACCCGATTTATTGTTTTAGGTCTAACTTACAAATAGTTACAATTTGTACAGTAGTATTATACTTTTTTTTAACAGCCTCTTTAGAGATCCGCGATATTTATCTGACGGCCTAAAAGTTTGATTTCTCGACGAAGACTACATTCAGGTAAGGTCACTGTTCTTGTACATCCCTTTAAAAGTGGACTGAAGAAGTAAAACCGGACTGAATGGGATTTGCAGATTTTTTTCTCTGGGAGAGTGCGGTTTGGGTCACCGCAACTGAGAATCACAAACAAAAACATGGAAATGGGATAGGATTTACTGATTTTCTAGGCGGCAAAATGAGCGCAAGTCATCGCAAGTGCACGCAAAGCCTGGCCAAACAGAGTCGCAAATAGACCCAAGTTTTTAACTTGGGTTCTACTTGGGAGTCCATTTGGCGAGGACGTAACGCACACGTTGTTTGTGTAAATATATACCGGTTTCTTTTATTGTTTGCTGGTTGGGAGAATTTGTCAGGAAAGTCACTGGTGTAATGGAATTTCAGACACCTTTCTGTTTTACTTAGGAGTACGGAAGGAATATAAATTTGCCAGCAAGTAATAAATAAATTTTAAAAAACGCATATCTGTTAAAGGTCTTCTCAAAATTCCCCACCACCAAGCCTCGTTTGCGCGACAGTTTCGCAAACTTTCTTTGCCTTCTTGTTGTTTTCATGTGGGTATTTTTTCATATCTACTACTATGGAAATTAGTTCATGATAAAGTTTACATTTTGCATTATCAAACCGAGGTTTGGCCATGGTGGTGATTTTTGCTAGTCATGATGTCATCACATATAAGGGCTATTACTGCGTGACTTTAATATTTACCATTGTTCCTGGTGGTTTCTAACAAATTGGCCCGTTGAATGCCTCAGCTAGACAACATGATGTGCAGTTGCCATGAGGCGGTACTGTCTTTTGGTGCAAGCACTCAAATAGCAATATTTCATGAACATGAAAAAATGTCAGGAGAATAGCAGTGATGAGTGAATGAGGAGTTTTCAAGACCTGTTCAAACCATACTCAGTACTGCATGCGTATGGCTTGCCCTCAGTTAGTTACCAAACTGTCGTATGACACTTCATTCAAAGTTGTACACGCCCATTGCCGTCCTATAGGTCTCTTTAGGCTCCATCCACTCTACAACGGAGAAATTTGAAAACGCAGCTTCACTTCTATGGTTTGGCCTACGGTCCACACTAAAACGGAGCCTTTTGAAAACGATGACGTCACGATAATCATGTGATTTCCATGCTTGAGTTTTCCTCAACCAGAAATCCAAAGCTACCGGTGATTGTTGCGTTTTCAAATTTCTCTGGCTTAGTGCATTCTCTGATCCTTGGCAAAAACAAAGGGAAGTGGAGCTCTCAGTCTCAAAGACTGCAAATGGTGAAAAGTTATCACAACCACTGGATTCACACTCCGCTCAACTTATCTATAGTTAGTTTACAAGTTTAAAAGTTAAGAAATTACAAGAATTACTTATTGGAAAAAAAGAAATTAATCGTTCTTTTTTCAAAGGTGATTTACATGGATAGTTCGCAACTGTTGTTCAACATCTCCATCACCAATCAGTCTGCCCTTGTCAATAACACAGACACAAGTCGGCATTCCGTGTTTATACCAGCATGCTCCACAACCAAGCTAGCTGTAGCTTTATTATTGGTGATAGTTGGGACTGTAGGATTTGTCGATAACAGCCTTGTTTATTACTTTATTTCCTCAAAGAGTAACACAGTTCCGTATCTACAGGCAGGTCCTTTCGTAAGGAACTTTAACTTCTACGTCAAAAGTCTAGCTCTTTCGCACATGCTCTCCAACACCATTTCTCTTCCTTTAGTTTACACCCAGCTAATGTTCAACTTGTTCCAATATGGCTGGCCATGCAAGGTAGTTCGCTACCTTAACATGTTGTTTTCTTCCATTACTATGAATAATTTAATCGCAATAAGCACGGAGAAGTATTTTTCAACCCGGGCTGTGCCCCGTTCTTTTACTGTCGCTACCGTTCGCAGGCTTCTGGTAGCAGCATGGATTAAGGGCTTTCTCGTCGTTGTTACCCCGAATTTTGCATTCAACGGAATAAGATTTGAACTTGCTAACACGCATTACACAGTTGTCTGTAAAGTCGACAATGGTTACTTACCGTTTAGATTGATATTTGTAAGCTATGTATTACTTCAACATGTCGTACCAAGTCTCATCTTGAGTTATATTAACATTTCGCTGATAAAAGCCGTATGGACACGGAACAGGAAAAGTGTGATGAATATTCAGATGAACAATGTTATTTAAGCGAAGATGAGGGCGGCCAAGCTACGCGGAACATATCTTCTTATTGCAATTACGCTTGCTTTTATTATTCCATATTCTGCGTCTCTTTACTGTGCCACCTATGTAATGTTAGCTAAACCATCTATCGACTTTGACTCGGATTATAAAACCAGATGTCTTACCATTGTACTGTTCTTTTCAAACAGCGCCCTGAACTTTATCAAATATGTGGTACAGATGGGCGATTTCAGATTATTTTAAAAAAAAAAGTGTTTTGCAATAAAGTAAGATAGTGTTAGGAATGAAAGCTAAGGGGCGAGAATCGACATAAGGGCGGTGGTCCACAAAAAAATTGTCTCTCTGTACAAAGTTTATTCCCTGATAAAAAAAAAAAAAACGTACACATGTAAGGGATTCAGGCTTCGCCTGTGTGTATTCGTATTTCGTACATTTCTTTGTTTATTTAATAAAGGTTTTAACAAAAGAATACTGAGAGAATGTTTATATTTTATTAGTGAAGTACATTTACTAAAACTGCGGTTACCGAAACATGTTAACTGTTAAGAGTAAGAATCTTTGACAAAACAAGTTTCTGCCCACCTTTTAGCCAAAATGTTTGTTTCATCGTAGCCCCAAAATTAAACTACAGTGTACATGTACCTTGTGATGTAGTTTCAATCATGATCAGTGAGAACAAACAAGATTCAATCATGATTCACCCAATGCACCACCTAATGTGAACAGTGAAACACATTTCATTCGTGATCAAGCTAAACATGTTTAGGCCTGGTGTGAACACAGCTTAACTGAAGGAAATTAATGACTAGTGATTGACTGACAATAGGCCCAATGAATGCTGGCCAAACTCACATGGTACATACGCCTTTACTCTGGCTGCAGGCAAGGCATGCATGAGACTTACCGCGGCAAGTTTTAACAGCAATAAATTTTATTGTATGGTTGCCTTTTTTCTACGGTCCAGCTGGGATAATGTTGTACTATGTTGCCAGACATACAAAGCACTTATTGGTACATGTATAGTTGTGGTCAAAATGTCTTGATTTGATTTAGACTGAATTTTAGTTGTCTCCTCTGGTCTGAGGTTCTCTTACAGCAGCAAGCAGCCAAGAGAGATGGCGGTTATCTTACAGCCCCGGTTTGACAATGACACCCAAAACTCTTTTCATTCAGTTGTTGTGGAGAAATTAGTGCTTTGGTTGTGGAGTCAAATTGAAGAACTACAGCTGTACATCAAAGCAAGAAATATCACAGCAATCTGTTATCTGGCACTTCCACCTAAACAAGGTGGAGACTTAGGAACTGTCTTTGCACTGCTTTCCCACTGTTCTGGTGTCTTGGCCTGAAATTGTTATAAAATTAAAAGTACAGTATGTACAGGCTCTCAAGGTCTCCATCCTCGGGTCTCAATGAGTACCAGAAAATTATTTAAGTCACTGTAACCTCATAAAATCGCTGAGGGAGAGAAAAGGGGACAAACATGCGTGTGATACAGATTAACGTCACACCCAGACAGAGTGATGGTCATGGTGATTTAAAAGAGATCACAGTTAAGAACTGGCTTAGCAAGCTATCTAGATACAGAAGAAACTACACCAGAAGTATAGTAAGAATCCATTATTTCCCATCATTATTGAAATAGGTGCCTCGATTAAATTAGTACCTGTATTGACAAGGCATGTACACCACTTGCTAACTCTTCTTTTAGAATTTCATTGACCATTCTGTGTCTCTGTTGAATAATTTACATAAATGTCTTAATTTTAAAAATATATTTAGACTTTTAATTTAAAATATACTTAGGGTTAAAATACACTTTTGACAAAAGCTTTTAAACTGCAGTAGCAATATATTGTTGAATAAATCAACCTTATCATTGTCAATCATTGCCCAGCAAGTCCTTTGGTGGAACCCGCAGGGTAACAGATTGAGAGGGAGGAGAGATGCACTGGAGGAGGGATACAGAATGAACTATATATTCAGGAGAAGGGTACCGCATCTAGGGTTACCTCTGGATGCAGCTAAAATGCCTGGCTAGGGACAGAGGGAATTGGAGGAGTTTTATCAGTGGCCTAAATGTATGCTAAAAAATGGAGTGGACAGGCTTCAGATTGGTTCAGGGATTTGTCAGTCACAAGCACATAAATATTGAAAAAACTTTTTACTCTCAAGACTGAGGATGCTAAGTTTGGGGTACCATGCATATGCACATAAATTATAAAGGCCCACATGTTAGCCCTATTTCAGGTTAAAATTGAAATCACAATTGAGGATGAACTTAAATTTCAGTTTCCAAAATATTGAAAACTATTGACTTCACACCTGAATTAAGGGCTTATCTTTAAAGTTTGAAGACACAACCACCACCTTGAAATGAGTTTCTGAACCTAGACAAATTCAGAAGAATAATGATCAATAAGTGCTTGATTGACTAACAGTCCCAAACACAGGTAAAAATCTAAACTTTCAAACCCAACACACCAAAGGATTCTAACTTTACAGTTTTGATGATCTCTGAACTGAGAACACCCAGGTAATAAATTTCTGATACATGTATTAAAAGCAGGTGCTGAAGATGCCTGAAAATCATTTAATTCTAACAAATTAATTATTTAAAATAATTTCCAATTTCCAGGCATTTTTCCAATAATTCTGCATACTTTGGAAGTTGCTGGCAGAGTTCCCATTAACGCACAGGTGTGCGTTTTATACACATAAAAAATAAAAAGAACGCACAGTTTTTTGGCAAAGGGCGTCCTTGGGACACAGGAAAAAGTTCCGAAAATTTAATTAGTAATTAGGCAAAGGACCCCTGAAAAGCAAAAAGAACCTGCAACTCTTTGGAGCTGGGGCTCCCAAGGACCCTTAACTATCAAAACTAGTGTGAACTCTGGTTGGACTAAAGATCATGTGAATATAAACCCGTCCACTTTTTATTTTTTTAAGGACTTAGTAAATTACTATTTCCCATGATTTTCAGTTTTCTCCAAATTAACACATCTACACTATATTTGGTTTGATCAATTGTTTCACTAGCTACATTGTAGACCATTAAATACAACATTCTTCATCTCCTCGTACTTTTTTAAATCACATTCTGTGACAGACATTACAATCCCTCTGTACAGGGATCAAGGTCAAAGGTCATAGTCATACAAACACTGACATGTAGTGAGAGATTAACCATGCTGAAAAAACACCAATCAAAGATTTATAACTGTTACATTAAAATGATGTACAGATCATACCTTTTGGAACATTATGCATGTAGCTCTCATTGATAACATCTAAATACACAGGCTGAAACAGTATAACACAATTTTTTTTCATTCCTAGAAATCTTACAACAAAAGTTACGTTTGAGAGTTAATGAAATCTAGCAACATTACACAAAGACAAGAGCATAAATGGAAGAATTAACAGGGTGCAAAGGAAACAAATTTTGCTCTCTGGTGTAAATTGGCAAACATGTTGATGTGGGTCAAATGGCTTTCATTATGTATTGAGCAAAATGTATTGCACAATAAAATTATTACATGCATATCATTAAGCTTACATCAGTACCTTAAATTCCTTTGTTAGCTTTTGAGTGATTACTTTTTCAACTGACATCATAAGCTGATAGGAGGGAAGCAACAAAAGTTAGATGGAAAAGGAGTGATGACATGTGCTTATTTAAATATGAACTGAAGGTTTCTGCCATCATGTGTTCTAAAGGCATCTGCAGTCGAGTGTCTATCGATACCCCCAATCAATACCCTTGATCAATCCCAGATCAAACCTTGATCGATAACTCAATCGATACTCAATCAACACCTCGGTTGACACTCGATCAACACTTGATTGACATCTCGCTCAAGAGTTGACTAATTCTTACAGACATGCCATCGAGTATTGGTTGAAACATATGAGTCGATTGACACTTGGCCAACTAACCACGACTGTTAGTTGCGTGTCAATCCAGACGTTGATCAAGTATCAGTTCAGATGTCAGTCATGAGTTGATCCAGATGTTGATTGAGTGCTGATCAAGAGTCAATCAAGAGTATCAATTGGCATTCAACCACAGATACCTTTGGGACACATGATCTGGTTTCTCTAATGGCTAGCTAGTTATTTTCATTACCAAGAAGTGTTCAAGTTCAGAACTCAAAATAAATCATGTAAATTGACACCTAACTACATGAGTGGCAAGCGTTACCAATACTTTCTTTTTGTAAGTAACACTTGTAAGCTTACATGTAGGTCTAACACACATAAGGACAAAGTTCACAGATAGCTGTAAAGTGATTACACAACCTTATCTTGTGTTGCATTTTGTTACCTGAGAAGCACTTGACAATAGTTTTGTTTCTCTTGGCCTAGCAGTAGCTGGTAATATTCTCGTCAGGCAGACTGAAAACAACAGGCAATTTCAAATAATTTTATTTAATTACCGTTTTCACAAAATTAAGGCTGCGTATAAACATCCAGTTTTCCTCATCAGACCCTCTCGTGGGAAAAAATATAGAACAATAACCCACTTAAAAGTATTTCTACACCAGAGAATTAAAACTACGGCAGCGGAATTGTCGATAAATTTGAACCAATTACCTCTAAACATGGAGAATTCTTGGTTGCAAACACATTTGATTTCTCCGCTTGATCCCAGACTACCACCTACTGACCAGCGGATTGCACTGTACTTCATTCACGACCACACATTCTATCCGAACTCTATCCTATCTCTGACCGGAGAAAGGATTGGCCCCGGTCATATTGGCCAGAAAAATCCTTTGTATTATTGCCACTTTTATACCCGATCAGTGAGTAATGGGTTCACAGTACATTCTGTGTATTCTTAGACTGCAAGCAGTCTGTTTCTCTCTCGAAATTATGCAGGGATTATGAGGCGAGACGTTTTAGCGTTGGAATGGGACACGACATAGGCGCGGCTATTCGGCCATACCGCCCTTTCGCGTTCATGATGGCTAAACACCAGTCTTATGGTGACCCTGAGAGAAAACACCAGCTGCCGGCAGTCTGGTATTTTCTACGTAATACTAATCCTACGTAGAGGGTACGATAGTTCGTTGGCCATACAACAGTTTGTCTTGCTTGTTCAGCAATATTACTTACTTCCATGATCTACAAATGTTTGCTCCGCCGTGCGTATAGCACTTTGCTGACCCAGTTGGCCGTAGTGTTACTGTATTAGCAAATTATCTCATCCTTTTTCAACGACGACCCCCGGGGTGGGTACTTTGGGAATTTCTGGGTGGGGATGTGCCGCTGAGACCCTGAAACCCTTAACCTATACCAGAGCTAGTTCAGCTGAATTTTGCTACCCTATACTAGAGTAAACTCCCCAGATCCCCCATCTATCGACACTGTTGAGGCTGATTTGCGTAAATTTAAACTTGCCGATTTGAATTTTTTTTATATTTTTCACTGGCAATTCCTGGTTTCCTTAGTCTAGATATAAAATCTTCAACCAACTAGTCAGTTTCGTGAAAAATGATACCCTATTCTAGACCCAAACGCTCTGATTTATATACCCTATCCTAGAGTAAACTGCTTGAAAACCATACCCTTCACAGCGGCACATACCTATATAGCCCATATATGGCAGTTACCCCCCGGGCGACGACCCTACTTGACATACACACAACATAGTTACTAAATACAGTTGAATCCCGCTATTTCGAATTCTCAGAGGACGTGAATAATAGTCCGAAATAGCGGGAGTTCGAAATAATCGATCACGGTAAATGACTGAAGGGTGGACCCAAGGGAAATGGCCTAGAGTTCGAAATAACGGAAAATTCGAAATAACCGAGTTCGAATTAGTGGGGTCCAACTTTACTCAAGGTTTTTTCATGTTTTGACAATTACAGAATACCCGTCTTAACCTCGGCACCGCGGTCCCGAAGTCAACGTCTATGAATTTTACTCTTAACTTTAGCAGTAACGTAACGTAACGTAACGTAACGCAACGCAACGCAACGCAACGCAACGCAACGCAACTTAACATTAAAAGTGACTGCCGTAGTTTTTGAATACAAGTTGTCAAGGGGAGGCAGTAAAAGGTACTGTGCCACCGTGGTCCGCAGTCCCGTAGTTTTTGAATAATGAAAAGGTCTAAGATTAAATCGCACTGCCACCGCAGTCCGCAGTCCGGTAGACTTGAATAAGAAGTTGAAAAGGCCTGGCACTAAATCGGACTGCCACCGCGGTCCGCAGTGCCGCACTGAAAGAATATGAATATTAAATCTTCATGGAGTAAATTGTATTGTTGATTACATTTGTATTGTTGCCACCGCGGTCCGCAGTCCCGCATAGAAGGAAAATGAATATTAAATCTCGAAGGAGTAAATTTTGCAGTGTGGATTTAAGCATTTCTCACGGAATTCTAGTAAGTTAGCTTTAGTTGGACAAAGCTCGCACCTCGTTACTCTCGTTGATTTTGCTGATCAAATTGCAATCGCAGTCGCATCTTCTGATCAGCGGTAACCACAGCGTCCCACAATGCATTGCACGGGAAACATAACAAAAAAATGAAAGATGGCGGCGGAGCGCGAATCCCTGGGGTATTTAAAATTTGCAAGAAAATAAATGAGCTATGGATGATGGAACACCACTGCTCTTAGTACAATATCAAAGATGACTTTCTGGTGTTCTTAAAATACGTATACCAAATGCTCAAGTTTCTTAGGAAGAGAAACAAGCAGCCAGTAGAGCCACTGGGGCAAGCTGAAAATGCGACAGACGAGGAGGGCAGCGCAGATGAACTGCAGCCCACAGTGGACTATCTGGAAGAGGTGTTAAAGCCTTTGTTTGAAAGAATACAGCCAACGGCCCCTGAGGAATATGTTGGTATGTATAATTCAATTGCATTTGTGAGCGTAATTTTAGTTCACCGTAGTCAAGTTGTGCGTACCAGAATTCATCAACCTCCGCTTTCTGGCTCAATTCAACATGAGCATTTTCCGAAAACTTTCCCTTTTTTCAAAGAGAGATTCAAAAATCTCTATACCTCCTCCTGCTCCAATTGCGAGTCCTGTTGAAGAAGAAAAGATTGACAATGCTGGATCTAAGAAACAACGTCTTGATCTGGTGATGACGTCTTGCTTACGGAGTGAGATTGGAAAAGGTACAGACGATTAACTAACATAGCTGAATTGGTGCAAACACTTAAGAAAGTGTTGGAGTTATAGAATTAAATATTTCAATCCCCCATCTGCTACTCAGGTTTACTTATAAACTTTAAAATTGTTAGGCTTTAAGCTTTCCATCAGGTTATGTAAACAGGGACACTATTAATTTTCTCTTGTGTAACAGAATTCTTTGGTCAAAAAATTTTTCAAAAGTCTGTATGATTATCAATTCGTGTGCTTCGAAGGAAGCATGCAGTCACACAAATTTGACCATAACACCAGGTTAGAGACTGAGACATTTAAAAGGATTCATTCACAATAATAGTTATTTAAGTTATTTTGGCCACATGCAAAATTACTTTAAACTGAAGGAAGCCTGAAAATAAAACTTAACTAAGATAGAAGAACACCAAAGAGATAATAATAAATCCATGAAAGAACAAGGATGGTTAAGGATGGAAAAGAAGACTAAAGTAGATTACAAACAATGAACTTGAAAAATGTACTAGGCTAACCTTTTCAAGATTTGCAAACTGTGATACAAGACAAATACATAGAAACACAAATTGGTCATCATATGACAATTTGTTTCTAGTTCCAGTAGCAGAAGTGGAGCGACTCTGGTCCAGATTCCAGCAGCTTGGACTCAATGATGATCAAACTCTGCCAAGTGAGACATTCCAGCAACATCCTTACTCAACAGATCCTTTTGTGAGACAGGTTATTTATTTATTGTTGTAATTTTCTTGCAACCCTTATTTAAATAAATATTTCCTTGCTGAAAGGTTTAACTTTCAATAGCAAAGCTAAAGCACTTTCAGCATGTACAGTGCATTTTACCATGAAATTTTTGCTCCGCGTCAAACGTAGGATCTTCAATTATCATGCATTTACCAAAAGATCTTCAAGGCTTTTACATGATACTCCTGTCGTGGATCCTGCTTGATCCTTAGAAATGTTTTATGATCCTAGTAAAATCTTAATCAAATACATGTACTAGAGGATTTTGAAGGGTTTTTGCAAAGACATTTGCTTTGATTTTTGTTCTTCCAGGATCTTTTTTAGATCCTTGTCATAGTGAAGGACTTTTAGGATCTTCCAAATATCGTTTACAAATCCTAGAAAAATCCTTATCTTTTAAGATCTTTTGTAGATCTTTGATGATGTCCAAAGATCAAGCATGAGGATAAGCACTACATTATACCTAATGCAAGTGTTATATAACTAGTTTCACAAGTTAGTGTTGCAGTAGCTACAGTTGGTGGATTTCTCGTGTGAGAGATAATAGTAAGACAAGAATCACACCATGCACTGACATCGGAAAGTTTAACTGTTTGAATTATTCGTGGCATCATTTTGATTATTTCTTGATTGAACTGAATTAGATTTGGAGGACTTTTCCAAGAGATGAGAATGGAAATGTGACTTTCCATTCATTCGTTGGTGTATTGATGTGGTGGAAAACTGCACCACTGGACCAGAAGCTGGCAGGTGAGGTACACTGTATCATTCATCTGACAAGGGATCATTTCATTGCAGCTTTATCACCAATGCTTGGCGGCCAGAATGTTCATTCTGGGGCCCCCTTGACTGAACATGGGCATTCCAGTGATTATTTTAATAATAGTTATTAAATGAATTCATGATGTTTTTAATTTGCTTCTAGGTATTTTTAAGCTGCTCAACAAATCACAGCCTTTGGATGTCCCTGCCTTACAGCAAATCATCACAAAGCTTGATAGCAGTCTTGATGAAGTAAGTACTCATTACCTTAGTTATTGTGTTTAATATAATTAATAACAAAGGCACTGCATTTCCCCCAGATTAAAACAGAACATTTATAATAGGTGAAATATCAGATCATTTTACATCTTGTACAGATTTGATCGATTACTGTGCATGCACAGATTACTGTACATGCAAATAAAGGTTTATTGATGCCACTTATAACACCAATCATGAGGAGCTTTTACTGAATTAATAGCAGATAAGCTTCTGTCATAATTTGCATTTTGTTTCTTACAGGAAACTGCCAAGTCCAAAGCAGAGTTGTTAGTGAAAACAATTGATGACAAGGACCAAGGTTAGCTGTTACTAAAATACGTGTTAATACCAGTAAAGAACAAATATCCAAGCCAAATTGATAAGATCTTTGGCTTGGATATTTACTTTGTTCACTATAATCTTATACAATTTTGGTGCATTTCCTGCAAGAGGTTTACTAAGTCTACCATTTGGAGAGCCTCCCATACAGTCATTTGTTATTTGTTATTCTGTTCCTAATATCTTTATTTCTTTGCTTAGGATACATTGATGTTGACCAGTGGGTTAATTGGGTTTTACAACTTCCAGAAGATGAAATCACCAAACTCACCAAGTTTACCATTTTACCAGCAGAGATGGGCACACAGACGCCGCACAGCAGGTGAGAAATAAACCCGAGAGATGCAGGGGTTTTGTTAAGGACTGGGAGCCAGACAAATAGACCTTTTCCACATTCCAATAAACAATCGCTCCGAGTCAAGGTCAGGGTGGACAAAAATACAGAAAATGTATGAGAATGTCCACCCCAACCTCGCTGTGGTACTATTGTTCAAACACTCTGTAGTGGAATGCAGGAAAGGCCTATTGAGTGGCTGTGAGGTGGATTTTGCCTTCCTTGTTTGACCATCTGCAGGAAAGTTTTCTCATAAAAGAGTTAAGTTCATAATGTTTTGCATGACTTTTAGAAACCAATTGCCTTCCAGTTGAAAATGTAAATGAAATCCCTGGAAATGTAATGTATGAGTGTAGGGGAGAACGTATGGGACAGTGGTGAGAGCACTCGCCTCCCACCAATGTGGCCTGGGTTTGATTCTGTCCCACTGCCATATGTGGGTTGAGTTTGTTGTTGGTTCTCGCCTTGCTCCGAGGGTTTTCTCCAGGTTTTCCCATTTTCCTCCCTCCACAAAAATCAACATCTACAAATTCCAATTCGACCTGTGAAAACCAGCTAAGGCTGCTGTGGCTTCCTATCTAAATATTAAATATTAAAAACAAACTGAAAACTGGTTTAACTGACTGTCTTTCAACAGTCAGAAACTAATGTAATCTATTCTCTTACCTATGAAATTATTACTCCCAGCTATAACAAGAAAATGATTCAAATCAGAGGTTCAGCTGTATAAAATTTGCCGCTTTCATTTTATTGTGCAGTAGTACATGTAGCTTTTAGGTTCTTCAACCAGTAAACAACAATGTTAGAGTGTCAAGAAATGAAATCCATTTGTTAAAAGCTTTACAATAATGATAAAAAAAATAGCTATTTCTTGAAGTGGACATACATGCATGTATCCTCGCAGTTGTAGTCTGCACAAATGACCTCCGGAGAGGAAAGACTTCTGATATAACATATCTAAATTAAGCACCCACTATCAATTTCTGCTTTTTACTAGTGAAATATTTATAGTAAGCTGATTAAGAGAAATATTTAGATTCAAAACTAACTTTGAAAAAAGGAAAACAATTTTGCCTCATTTTCATGCCCAGTATTTGGGTCAGTTATTTTAAGCTGTAATTTCACAGTTAAAAATTCAAAATCAGGCCTGCTGAACAATTTTTTCGTGTTCAGCGCATAATTTTCATCTTAGTAAAGAAGTGTGTTTACCAACTTTTCCTTGAGTTTGCTGACAGAAGTTTAAAGTAGCAGGCTTAATTTCTTGAAATTTCTCCCAGTCTGACTAATGTTCAAATATGATCGTTATTTATTATTGCTAGGGCAAGGTCAGAAAATCAGTCAGCCATCTCAAATGAGTTTCTAGTGGACATTGCCAGTAGAATTGGTGAAAAAGACTGGATTCCATTGGCCCGTGAACTTGGTTTTACCAAGCAGGAAATACGAGATGTGAAGAAGAAGTACCCACATCGTTCACGAGAACAAGTTTATCAGATTTTACTGCTTTGGAGAGAAAAGATGGGACAAGAGGCAACTGTTGCCACATTAGAACTGTCGTTGAGTAAATCTGGAGTGGATACACAGGCAAACCATCCATAAGTCACAAACATCTTTATTTATTCATGAGAAGTGGGTTGAAATTAACCCAGATAAGAATGGCTGTACAAAATTGATGTAACAGAAAATTACAGAACATTATTATTAAATACTTTTATAATATTTGTTACATTTTAGGGTAGAAGATGATAACAAGTAAAATTTGTTTTTAGTTACGTTGTTGATGTACATTGTATGAGGTATAAAAGTGCAATGGTATACAGTGTTAAATATTGTTGTATTATAAGTATTGTGTGATAAAGTAATTAATTAATTAAATAAATTATTGTCAAGGAAAAGGTTGTTGTTATTCATCATGGTAGATGCAATAATAAAGTGTATTATCGTTTGTCACATGATGTAATCACTTTAGATGTAGATCGCGATGTTTGGACTGCTTACTGCTAGTCTTCGTCAGGCGATGAGGTCGACTGATTACACGGTATCATTTATATCACAAAGGTCGGCTGTAATTGGTGCATTTCGATCCTCCTATTGTTCCATTGTTCCAATGAGTAGCTGTTCCCTCAGTGGTCCGCTGTTGTACCGTTCTCCTGTTGTTGTGTTTTTTGATCGATCAAAAACACAACAGGAGAACGGTACAACAGCGGATCAAAAAACACTGTTCTCCTGTTGTGTTTTTTGATCGATCAAAAAACACAACAACAGGAGAACGGTACAACAGTGGACCACTGAGGGAACAGCTACTCGTTGGAACAATGGAACAATAGGAGGATCGAAATGCACCAATCACAGCCGACCTTTGTG